CGCTCTCTGTGCTTTTAACTTTGCCATTTCCCAGCCATCCTTATTCTTTTGGCAGCCGCTGATGCGTGCGACCTACTTCAAAGGAATAAGCTAATGCACCTAGAGGTGGTCTGAGCTAAGAGCCCATCTTTTGTTTGAAACAGAGTTTGTTGGGAATACTATCTGAACTCTTGCTGCTGGGACGGTTCATGAAACGGCTTTGTCATGGCGGCTTCTCAAGAGTTTACTTTCCGCTTCTTCTTGAAGGGAGACTTTTAGGAATTGACTTTTCCTTCCAAAGCGAATGCGAGGGGTTTTTGTGGTCTCGCAATCCTATTCTTTGCAATAAATCGCGAAGTAGGACCTGAATTTGCCTAAGCTCCTTCTCGATAGTGTTTGCCGAGCAAATTTTCTAGGTCCTTGCGCCAAACAACGGAGTAGATTGCGTTTCTGTTGGATGGGTACGAAACTGCCGAAGTTCATATGTTGGCCGAACAAGGTTTTCTTCCAATAAACGCGCCTTCGGACACTACCATCAGGTCTTGGCCTTAGGAGAACGTCTAAGAAAGGAATTGAACCGGTCGTTTTCACCTCCAAAGCAACCTTGATGGACGGATGTGCATTTGTCTACGCCTTCTAGTTATCGATTTGTTTAAACGGGCTGCTATCAAGCACATAAGTTATCACAGTTTGTGACAGAATGCGTCAAAGATTTACACAACACATGTTTTTCGATAAACGCTCCTCTGAAAGCTACCGCCGGGTCTACTGCTTAGTAGGACTTCTATAAAAGGTTAACAAAAAAGTTGAAGCTCGTACAGCATCAGCTATCCTCACGTTATACCTTTGCATTCGTCAATGACGTACAAGACATGAACTTACAATGCTCTTGTTACACGTCTCCTCACTTTTTACAAACGTTTCGGTCATCAAGCCAGTCGACTACGTCTGCGAATGCCCATTGACTTATTAGTGGAAAAGCTGAAAACCAACGAGTACGCTAAAGGAATTATTACTGAGCTGCAAATTTCATGTGTGATTCCTATTTGACAATCGACTATATGGACAAATGGATAGCATTGCTATGTTCGCCTCTGGGAGTCTCTCGACCGGTGTCTTCATGGCCAAGTTGGAACACTTTCAACTAAGTGATCAGATCAATTAACTTAGGTCGCTGTGGTGATGATATGTTTGCAGTCAACACAACAAAAACCGGCGTATATGCAAAATACATCCATCCATGTAGTTTTCGTTGGAGGTGGAAAGGGCAGGTATGGTCCCTCAAAATGAACTTTTAACCAAAGAAAACCTGTTCTAGACAATGTATGGACTTCGACAGTTCGTAACCATGCCACAGAAACGCAATCTAGTCCGTAGCTGGGCAGAAAGAGGTAGAAAATTTGCTCCGTGAACAGTATCGAGAAGGAGTTTAAGAAAGTTCGGGAGCAGCTTCGCAAGAACGGGTATCTTGGATGATTTATTATATGGAGTAGGGTTGCGAAACAAACAAACCCATCAAACATACTGTGTTGAAAAATATAACATTCCTTAGTTCCCTTTCAAGCGGATGTGGCAAGGGAAGTCTTGAGAAGACGCATTGACAAAGCTGTTTCAGGACCCTCCCAACAGCAAGAATTCGGGTACTATTCTCAACCAACCCTGTTTACAAAAAAAGGATGCACTGCCAACTCATACCACCTATATGTGCATTTAATCATCCCTGTGAAGCAGGTTATATGGGTCACACGCGCCAGTATCTGTCCAAAGGAATAAGAGAATGCCTCCCGGCATGGCCGAGAAAAGAGGGACAAAGTTAAAAGCATAAATAGCGCATCATGTGGGCACTGCTAAAGCCAACCCGGATGATTTATAAGGTCCCCGCAAGCTACTCCACGTCAGCGTCTGTTAGCAACTACCAAAGCGTCTGCAGTTAGGTTGGGGAAGCCGGTCTCGCGTGTTCAAAAGAACCTTCCGCAAAGTCCGCATTTAGTGTGGCTAGCGCTCGCCCCCCCCCTTCCTACTGCCTGGGACGGCTCCACCACATCATACACCCCTCCCCCCTCCAACTCACAATTCCCACTTGTACGAAAGGAGCATTATTGCTCACATGTTTTAACTTGTACCCCGCCTTCATTTAAGTGTATTGACCCGACGAAAATGTATCGAACCTCACTTATACTCACCAACTGGTCTTCCAAACATTTATTTTGTAGAAGATGACGTGTCATTGAAGTGTATCAGATGAACTCTTCAGTGCTTTCAAGTTAACTAATGTCAGACACACCCTGTTTTGCGTAAAATTTCCCGGCTGATTTATGAGGTGCAGGTGCCTATATGTGTGTGTGTTCACTGGCAGAAATTTAGCCTTACACTGTCAGCCACAGTTAAAAGACAGTAGCCCAAAATTGGATAAACGCGCGCCCTATTTTGATGGCTTTCCTAGATATCACCGCGAAATTTTCGAACTATTTTTTTGTTGCGGCACATATTGTTGTAACGGAAGCCCAGGCCGAGATATAACCGCTCAATAACGCCTTGTGTGAGTCCCCAAAGAAAGAACACGACAAGTGTGCAACAGCAGAAGCCTTTGAGAGTAAAATGTACAAAAAATTTAGGGCAAGGAACGTGTGTAAGATACGTCCACGAACCAATCAGCTTCTCTTCTGGATTGGCAACTGGTGCGATTGCCTGGGACTCAGCGGCTGACATTCAGCTTAAATTTTGTATTATCGATTTATTGACGGCCTGTGTACGTTCGCCCATGTAGGCCGATCGATAGCCTACTTTGAGTGCGGTTTTTGCTTGCAAGCTAACTGCTTGCTAAGGCTTTTCGTTAGGCCGTCCTAACACATATGCCCAAGACGTACACCAGCAAGCAGGCGGGTATTTCGACGGCCTTCCTGTAGAATTCACGGTCCAAAAACTGGCTGTTGGTTAACGGTTACGCTATTTTGTCGCAGGTACTACTCCCCGTCATGCATGTTTTGGTGAAAAAAAACTAATATGACCATGAAACCCTGTTAGTTTTTTTGGCATATCACGAGAGAGAACGCTTCTTGTAACTAGTTGGGTGTCCTTGGTGTGTCGTTTCATGAGCGCACCGAAGACGTCATACTGTTCGTACTGCGAGCACACTGCAGATCATCATCATCACCGCAGTAGGCAGTGGGTTTTTCTTCTGCAGGCGATAGTTAACAGTTCGGTTTTTTTGCCCTTCTAGTTAATATTTCAATTTAGGCAACGTTACAGCCTTTACTTACTGTTTCCCGGTTTTTTTTCGGCGATTGCCTCGAATCTGATCGTCCGGTATC